CCCCCCCCCCCCCCCCTTTACTTTTTTCTTCTTTTAAGTGTTGTTTCAATAAAGTGATGTCTGTATAAATAATTCTTAAAAAGGTATTTTAGAAAAAGACGACACCCTAAGAGAAATGGAAGGAACAATTAAACAAGGGCAAATTTGTAATAAAAGTTAGGGCTTAAATAATGGGAAAAATCTCTTTTCTGCATCAAGTCAAAAATAAAACACTCATTTCTAGCTTTACATTACTTTCTCTGTTAAGTCATTCTTGATGCTTTAAGTCAACAAGAAGCACTCATATATAGCTTAAGATAACATTCTCTATTAAGTCAAAAAGAGAAACATCCATTTATAGCAAATGGAAAGTTATTTGATTTGTTATTTTTGAAGGTTTGATATGTAATTTTTCACAGGAAAAGGGAGAAATTGATGGAATGAAGATAACTGGTTTATCACCCTATTGGTTTGATGCAGCTAAAGGAAGTGTTGTTGTTAACACAATTGAAATGAAGTCAATATTTCTGTTGACCGGTCCAAATGGAGGTGGAAAATCAAGTTTACTTCGGTCAATTTGTGTTGCAGCTTTATTTGGAATATGTGGATTCATGGTCCCTACTTAGTCAGCAATAATTCCTCAATTCGACTCCATTATGTTACATATGAAATCCTATGATAGCCCTTCTGATGGAAAGAGCTCATTCCAGGTCATCGTTTAAATTCTTACACAATCATACTAAATGACCATTTTACCCTTCCATCCAAAAACACAAACTTCACAATATTCATTAACTGAGTTGGAAGAAAAACAAAAGGGAAAATAGGTAAAAAGTTAGTATCTTAATACATTAAGTCATATTTTGGCTTAACTCATTAAGTTGTTTCTTTTTTTTAAATCTGAAGAGAATGACTTAATAAGTTAAGCCAAGAAAATTGGCTTAATGTATTAAGACACTAACTCTTTACATGTTTCCCTTTTTTTTAATCTCATAAAAGACTTTATATTCTGTGATTTTTTGGATTAAACCTCAAAACTTTATTTTTTTCCTGAAAAAGACCTTACATTTTTTCATTTTTTCCGATCCGGCCCTTTTAGCCATATTTTCCGAAAAAAGTCGTAAAATGTGAGGGTAATTTCAGGAAAAACTAAAAAAGTTGAGGATTTATTCTGAAATATTAGAAGGTTGAAGGTTTTTCCGAAAAAAAAAGACAAAGTTGAGGGTTTTCGGAAAAAATGAAAAAATACAAGGTTTTTTTCATGAAAAAAAATAAAGATAAGGTTTAACCCGGAAAAAAACACAAAATATAAGGTCTTTTATAAGATTAACATTCTTTTCCCTCTCTCAACTCCTTTTACATTTAAATTGATGAATGTAACGTCCGTGTTTCTGGGCTAGGCATTAATGTTGTTGTAATAGTCTAGGTTAACCTTTGTAACCCGTTTTGAAATAATGGAAGTGTATTATTTGAGTATTATGTGTTATGTGCTTAATTGTGTGTCTTAATTTAATTAAGAATAAAAATAAGCGTTAAAATGAAATATTAGATAAAGCCGATATATGTGGATGATGTTGAAGTAGTTGAAACGAGGTTTCCGAAAATATAAAGAACACTGAAATCCGAGTTATAACGAAGAAGTTATGACCTGACGAAGTTTCGCGACAGAACCGGCACGACGCTGAAGGACGTAAAATATGAATTTAAGATAGAGCAATATCTAGCCTTAGTGATCTAAACGAAAGTTGTAGATTACGGTAAACTGAGAGCGTGCGTAAAAAGAACGCCTAAATCTGACTTTGTATGAGGAAGTTATGATTTTTCGAAGTTTCGACTTAGCAGTGTGCAACTCGAATACTCGATTTGAGATCGAACGAGTTTTAGCCGAAACAATCTAAACAAGAATCGAAGATCTCGTTGATAGTAGTGCATTGGTGAAAAGACAGACGAAAACGGACGTCAGATGAAGAAGCTATGAATTTATAACGGAGTTTTCCTGTCCCAGCCTACTAAAAATAAAGAATAAAAATAAAAGTCAAAATTAGCCGACGGAGTCTAAACGAAAGTTGTAGAGCGTAGACTCACCTACGCGTGGATATAAAGAACGTCGAAAACGGAGTTCGTATGAAGAAGATATGAATTTGCAAAGTTTTTAAATAATCAATATTTTTTTTTATTTATCTTTAAATCGGATGAGTGTGAATTACCTGGCCACTACTCGAGTGCTGCTAAGTGACGCATGCAGTGACGTCAAAGTACGCCCAACGTAACCAAGATCGCCCAGCGTACTTAGAGTTACGCCCAGCGTAATCGAGGTTTCCAGCCCCTATAAAAGGAAGTCGAGGGCAGCCGATTCTTTTGCCCAAATTCTCTTCTCTCTCTCCCGTTTTGCATCGTTTTGCGTGCAACTTATATCCCAAAGCCCCGGTATCATTGCCGAGCCCCGAAGCAAGTTCCGAAGCCCCGAAGATCCCGAGAAGTGCAACTCCCGAGCCGAAGCTCTGCTCGCGAGAAGCTCGGTTTTTTTGTGAAGATCTTCCAGATCTACCGAAGAATACTGCTTCTACAAGTCGTAGTGCTGTCCGATCATCTTCTGATCAGGTGAGTGTGTAGTTACTTTTTTCTAAAGCATAATTATGAAGTATCTTATACAAAATACGTGTTATGTGTATATTTTGTTGTTATATGTGTGAATGTATATTCACTTTCTTCTATCTCATAGATATGATTTCTTCTCTATGAAATACTTGTTATGTGTGTGTGCCTCATCTGTTATGTGGAATATGTATTGAATGAACATGCTATACAGGTTTTAAAATATGTATAAAAATATATATTTTTATCCACTAATATGTTGGGTAGAACATGGGTAGATAGTTGATGTGTCATAAACAGATGAGAGGCCTCGATGTCGTTGTTGATCTAGTCATCTAGCAGAGTATGGATGACGACCACGGACTCATTCTAGACAGTCTAGTGGAACACTAGCAGACTCATAACCTGTAGGTGTTGTGAACGATGTGTTCACCGGTGTACTCTATCCCCTCATGGTTGCCTTTAGGACATCTATTGCTAAGGAACCCCCTTTGTGGTAATGTTCGTCCCGATAAAAAAAAAATCCTAGATTAGGTCCCTTGAGATAGATGTTGTTTTAGGGACGTAAAGTGAGGATAACGGGAATGGGTAATCGGGTTATTGTTGGTTGGTGAAATTAAATATAATTATTTATTGCGGGTTGAAAACCCTATATGCTCACCAGGCTCCCAAGCCTGACCCACTCAGTTTATTTGTATTACAGGTAGTGGCGCGAGGGCATAAGATGGATGAATCATCAAGCTATTTTGTTTATTAGACCAGTTGTTATATGTAACTATTGCATGGTCTATCTTTTGTTGTTTATGTTTTTGGTCTGTTTATCGGAACATGACATCCCGAATATTGTTATATAACGAAAATGCATCTCTTGATGAAATGCCTTGATAAACTTTATTTTATCATATTTTGTTTTGGGAACAAATTCCGCAACTCTTTTAAATCAAAAGAATTTACTCTGAAAATGTTTAAAAAGCATAAATGAAACCGGTCTTTTCTGGCCGAGATTTTGGGGATGTTACAATGAATATTGTTAAATTTGATGAATATAGTGAATTTGGTTTTTTAGAATGTAAAGGTAAAACGATCGTTTAGTCTCAATCATTCAGTTTATTCAACATAGAAAAGAAATAAACTTTAGGGAAATTGTCAGAAATGTTCCAATATTTTCAGGAAAGTTACACTTTAGTCCCAAGATTTTTTTTTGAACATAAAAGTCCCAATTATTTGTAAAAACACGATAATTTGTCATTTCATGTTAAAAGAAAAAAAAGGATTTTTTTGTAAACTTGAGCCAAAATGAAATAATCGGGACTTTTATGTTGAAAAAAAATCATAGGACTAAAGTGTAACTTTCCTGAAAATATTAGGACTTTTCTGACAATTTCCCTAAACTTTATGTATACAAACACATTATCAACTATTAAAATCCATGAAAATTATAATTTCAGATTGAAATGTCAGAATTGTGTTCTATAATCACAGGAGCCACATCAAACAGCCTTGTTCTTGTGGCTGAAATCTGCAGAGGTATAGAAACAACAAAAGGGACATGTATTGTTGGAAGTTTTGTTGAAACCCTAGATTCAATTGGTTGTTTAGGCATAGTATCAACTCACTTACATGACATTTTCAAATTACCATTGAACACAAACAACACGGTTTTCAAAGCAATGGGAAGTGAATTTGTCAATGGTCAAACTAAACCCACATGGAAGTTGACCAATGGGATTTGCAGAGAAAGTCTTGCATTTGAAACTGCTCAAAGAGAAGGTGTCCCTAAAACAATCATACAAAGAGCTCAAGAGCTTTATGCCTCGGTTTACACACACAACATGAGTTCAAAAAAAAATCTACAATCACACAGTTCAAGAATCAACATCTTTTTCTTCTTCCATTGTTAATGAATCAACTGATCAAATGGAGAAATTTTTGAAGGATTTGGAGAAAGCTGTGAGTTTGATATGTAAGAAAAGTAAATCAGAAGGTTTGATTAGATGTGTTGGGATTTCTCTTAGGAAACAACTACCTCCTTCAGTAATTGGTGCTTCAAGTGTTTATGTGATTATTAGGCCTGATAATAGGCTTTATGTTGGAGAGGTATCTGTTTCATTTTTTTCACATAGCTAAATTACAAATTGTGTTTTATTTTGGGCAAATTGGAAGAAATAGTAACTTAATTTACTCTTTTTTTATCAATATAAGCTATATGTTGTTTCTTTCATACTAGTTTCTAGTGTGTTGTTAGGTTCCATGTGTTTGGAATTGGACAGCATTCAAGAGGATTCATGTGACATCCCCTAATTTCTCGGCCAGAAAAGAACGATTTAATTTATGCTTTTTAAAATCAAATCAGAGAAATCTTTATAAAAGATGTTGCGGAATTGGTCCCCAAAACTAAACATGATAAAAGTTTGTCAAAACCTTTCTTTAAGACATATATAATTTCATTTCATATCAAAACTTCGGGATGTCATGTACCGATACAGACCAAAAGCATAAACAAGACATTATAAGGCTTTCAACAGTTATATACAACTACTGGCCTATAATCCAAAAATCTCACGTCATCCTCCGACTATGCTCGGGGTCCACTACATGTAACATAAAAAGCTGAGTGAGTCAGGCTTGGGAGCCTGGTGAGCATATAGGGTTTTCAACCCACAGTAATAATAAACTTATTAAGCTCACCAATCAACAATAACCCCGATTACCCGTTGCCGTTATCCTCACTTTACGCCCCTAAACACTTTTCACAAGGGACCTAGCCTAAAGAATATCATCGGGATGGACACTACTGCTAAGGGGTTTCCTCAGCCATACATGTCCTAAAGGCAACCATGAGGAGGATGGAGTACAACGAATAAACACCCAAGTTCATTAACACCTACAGGTTGCAGGCCTGCTAGCGTTTCCCACTGGACTGTCTAGAAAGTCCGTGGTCGTCATCCAAACTCCGCTAGATGACTGGATCACAAATCACATCGAGGCCTCTCATCACTTTATTTCATCAAACACCAACTATCTACCCATTTTCTACCCAACATATTTGTAGATAAAAATACTTATACAGTTTAAAACTTGTATAAAACATCAATTCAACAGTCACCTCAAATAAACAATTAATATATTTACACATAGCACGTATTATAAGGTAAATACTTCATATCTATGTGTAAAATGAAAATGACTATACACTCACTATTTCATCTACCCACTATTTCATCTACCCATGTTTTACCCAACATTTTTCGTAGATAAAAATACATATACAATTTAAATTATTTAAAAACCTGTATAAATCATTCCTTCAACACCCATCTCAAATAAACAAACAATATATATTCACACAGCACGTATTGTATGTAAAATACTTCATATCTATGTGTAAGGTGAAAGTAACTACACACTCACCTGATTTAATGAAAATC